ATCCTCTTGTGTTTTTATCAACAATTGCATGCCATGTGCAGTCTTCCATAGTGAAGACTGTACTTTTCTGTACTACTGTACCATGTTAAGAGGTGTACTCTAATTTCTTATTCTATGAAGGTAAAATGTCTGCATAGAAATAAACACGTTACCGACTCCCACTCAAGATTCCTCAATTCTTTGGGTTTGGGAGCTTCTATGGATTAAACTCAGCAGCTGTTTAATGAATGGAATTAGGTTGTTCATAGAAAATAAATAATTATGGCTTTTTAACTGTTTGCCCAATGTTTATCTTGTTAATCAGATGTCCAAGATTATTGTAGGAACTTGAGATGCTGCAGGATAGTATAAATGAATATAGGCTGCTTAGTTCTGGAGGTAGTATTTCAAACCTTGAATTTTAGTTAATTCTTTTCATTGGAAATAAGAGGAATTTTAAAAAAAAAAAAAAAGTTTAAGTCAAAGCAGAGCAAACATGTCAAAACTGATGCTAGACCAGCACAATCTACAGTATATACACAAGCCAAATAGAAAGAAGGCTAACAGTCTTCAACACAGTTTAGACATTTCTCTGTATCTTCTTTTAAAAAACTACAGTTGTCCGCTTTGTTTTAAAATAGTTTATGACAAAGGTATGAATAAGTTCTGTCATTAATTATCTTATCACTCTGCTTAGATGCTTTGGTTTCTTCCCTTTATCAGTATAATCCATGAGTAAACTGTAGGACAGCGTTTATTTGCTATAAGAGGTTTAAAACTTTAACCCTGACCTTATTGGATTCAGAATTTGGAAGCGTTAACCTAGAACATGAATGTTAACGTCTTTCCTAATGAATGCTAATACTCACTAGCTCCATGCAATTCACTTCTACGTCTGATGCGGAACAAAGGATAGTTCAAAGTGCATGCAAATACTTAGTCCTAACCTCATGATTAGTTTAAAATGTCACTTCAGTCTATGTGTTAACGTGCCATTTGGAATACTGATGTGCCAGTAATAAAGATGTGATGCTTACCTTGTTTTTCTGAACGGAACTAATACAATATTTTGATGTATCACAGGTAAATTTTTCCATAACCTTATGGAGAAAAAGGACTTTGAAGCATGGCTTGATAACATTTCTATTACATTTCTTTCTCTGACGGACTTGCAGAAAAATGAAACTCTGGATCACCTGATTAGCTTGAGTGGAGCAGTCCAGCTCAGGCACCTCTCCAATAATCTAGAGATTCTCCTCAAGAGGGACTTCCTCAAACTTCTTCCATTGGAACTCAGTTTTTATCTGTTAAAATGGCTTGATCCTCAGACCTTACTCACATGTTGCCTCGTCTCTAAGCAGTGGAATAAGGTTATAAGTGCCTGTACAGAGGTGTGGCAGACTGCATGTAAGAATTTAGGTTGGCAAATAGATGATTCTGTTCAGGATCCTCTGTATTGGAAGAAGGTTTACCTAAAGGCTATTTTAAGGATGAAGCAACTGAAGGACCATGAAGCCTTTGAGACATCCTCTTTAATTGGACACAGTGCCAGAGTATATGCACTTTACTATAAAGATGGACTCCTATGTACAGGTAGGAAGGACAGAAAACTTGGAGTCTTAAAATTCTTTGTTTCTTCCACCCTCCCCCCCCAACGTGATTAATGACAATTTGCTTTTCCTTTACTAGACAGATTATTTTCATAATGCTAACAGAGTTGAAGATTATTCAAAATTAGTTTTTCTTTGAATTTCTGAAACACGTGGCATGCTAATAAATTGATTAGTCACTTTAGTAGGAAAACAAGGAGACCAGTTTCTTTGTTGGTTAAAAAAACGGGAACAGCAGGTACCATACTTCAGATTTGTAAGCCCATTTGAGAAGTGCAGATACATGAGTTATCCTCTTAACATGATAACTTTCAGTTAAAGGGACCTTGTTTGGGCTCTGTGATCACTGCATCTCCCAAGGTGTGGCAGGATATGTCTGTCTTCTTCCTTGAAACAGTTTCTCTGATACAGTCTGTAAGCCCTCCCAGTTCTTAACGTAAGTGCTTGTGTGAAGACCTGTAAACTAGATTTAACCTTGGTACTTGTACATTGTCATGATAATTTCAGCTTCCTCCCTGAAGACTGCAGACTTCAAGATTTCAGTTTGAACTTAAAAGTACAGCTAGAACAAATGAAACCGTAGGTGTGAAAGAACAGCAAGTTACAATGAACCGCTGTCAGAGCATATTCCAAGGATTTCCCAGTCACTTGAGATGACAGTGCTATAGAATAAGTTGGGAATACCCCCATTTGTTGGTACATTAAGGTGGTTACTAGAAGCCAACAATTGGACCCTAGGCAGTTTTTTCACTTCACTACTCAGTAGGGAATGTAAATACACAAGAAACAACATTGTCAAAACTTTTCAGAAAGTGGCACATTTTTGTGCTGAAATCAGCAGGAGAAACAACAGGTATAAGTGTCAGGGGGTTTATTCTGCTCTCCAAAGGCAGCAGTCTGGACTTGCCGTTACAAGTTTTAAAAAAAAGAAACTGAAGGAAGTAGGGAAACTGGCAGGCTATGGGCCTGGTATTCCTCTGCTGTCTTTTGAGATTTAGTGGACTCCTTTCCCACCTGAAAGAGACTAAAGGTTGCAATATAATGAGTGGCACTGAGAACCTGGGAGTGAAGTATTATGTAAAACTTCTATGCATTTGTTTCAGTAGATACTGTCAGTCATAGGCAGTGTTGGAATCTATGGAAAGTGCTAAAACAGTACAAGGAAACTGGAAGGCCAGACATCTGGTAACTTAATTAATATGAAAACAAGCGGCTTTGCTGTCATGTTGAGGCTTAAAACTAACGGGTTTTTTTGTCATTCAAGCAGCTAGGAAGTACTATTTAATGAGAAAAAGTTCAACAAGGGGAAATGCAAAGCCCTGCACCTGAGGAGGAACAACTCCATGGCTGGAGAGTCACCCTGCTGAAAAGCAGACTGGCAGAAAAGGACTTGGGGGTCCTGGTGGACACCAAGTTGAATATGAGCCACCAACATGCCCTTGCTGCAAGGAAGGCTAACAGTATCCTGGGCTGCTTTAGGAGTGTTTCCAGTATGTTGAAGGAGGTGCTCCTTCCCCTCCACTCAGCACGGGCGAGGCTGCACTTGGGAGTAATGTGTCCAGTTCTGGGCTCCTCACTACAAAAAAGACAGGAACACACAGGAGAGTTCAACAAAGGACCATGAAAATGATGGAGGGACTGGAGTATCTCTCATATGAAGAAAGGCTAAGAGAGCTGGGACTTTTTATTGTAAGGAAGAGAGGGTTCAGGGAGGATCTTATCAATGTATGTAAATACTTGAAGTGGGGGTGCAAAGATGATATAGCCAGGCTCTTGTCAGTGGTGCCCAGTGACAGGTCAAGAGGTGGTGGACACAAACACACACAGGAGGTTTGCTCTAAAACACTTTTTTTACTGTGAGATTGATTGAGCACAGATTGCCCAGAGAGACTGTGGAGCATCTTGTGGAAGACAAGTATATGACTGGAAATACTATTTTCTCTGCCTCCAATTATCCTGTTCTTTTATATTCTAGGATCAGATGACTTGTCTGCAAAACTGTGGGACGTAAGCACAGGTCAGTGCATATATGGTATCCAGACACACACTTGTGCTGCAGTGAAGTTTGACGAACAAAAGCTTGTAACAGGATCTTTTGATAACACAGTAGCCTGTTGGGAATGGAGCTCTGGGGCAAAGACACAGCATTTTAGAGGACATACTGGTGCAGGTATGTTGAACTTTTCAATCTGTAATTTCACCAGTCAAATAACATACATTATCATCAAATTATATTTTAAGTTAGCTCTTTGCAAAATTGTTTGTTTGTTTTTTTTTCCCTAGGCTCTCTCCTAGGTCACCATTTGGGAGGGAAAGGAATTGGCCAGAGCAGATCCAGATCTTGAATAATGCCAGAGCTTACCCATGTGGTGTTTTGCAGTTGCATGGGAATATTAAATGCTGTGCTTACTCAGTACTTTTGGGTCTACCAAAAAGATGCAAACCCCAGAGAGCATGGCAGTAGCAGTTTTTTACATCCCCAGACTGGAGATGGGCTTACAGAAAAGAGCACAATAGGACCTGGGAATCTGTATTTGCATTTTCATCATAATTGACTTCTCTACTGCAAAATCTCTTAAACTCAGCTGTAGGTCTGTTCCCCTGTGAGTAGTGACATATATCAAAATGTACCAATCCTGCTGGAACTGACTTAATACAACTCTTAAAATAGGACTAGCTTAAATTACACTTTTTGCAAAATCCAACCATAAAGGAACCACTGATGCTTTTAATTTGGACAAATGCCAGTAATTCTGCAGTGTTATTTTAGGAATCCAGAGCAACAATTCACTTATACATTTCAAGAACAACAGTTAAAGATGTAATAGCATACGAATTTAGAGGCCACTGAATCAATACAGATGCTACTAGTTAGTGTCTCACTTATAGAAAAATATGTGCATAGAGACCGGTATTCCTTATTTAGTACCCTCTTTGCTTGTAGTTTTTAGTGTGGACTACAACGATGAACTTGACATTCTGGTCAGTGGCTCTGCAGACTTCACTGTGAAAGTATGGGCCTTATCAACAGGAACGTGCCTGAACACCCTTACTGGACACACCGAATGGGTCACTAAGGTGGGAACACTCATTTTTAATTAATCTTGCAAAACACTTTCAATAAATTTGTAACGTTCTAAATTTCTGTTTCCTAATCCTAACCCTTCACGTAGGCGTAGAATCAGAAGAACATCAGGAAATAATGCAGAATAACATTTCAGCAGAAAAAAAATACTTAAAGAATATATACTTCAGCTTTTTGGACTATCGAAGATATTTCTATTCCAAAGCAGCTGGAATAATATTAGGAATCACTGTTTGAATCAAAGGCTGGATAAAAACTGGTTCTGAAGGAAAGCTACTTTAAAAGTTATGTAGAAGAACTAATGATCTTTATAACCAAAATCTGAGCATAAAAAGCATTCTGAAGTCAAGATATTTTTCTTTCAATTATTTCAGAACTTGGAATGTGAGGGGGGTGTTTCTAGACGAGAAGTACATATGTTTGCTTATTAATAGAGTAAGTTGTCACTTGTAGGAACGAGAAAACTGTGGTTTCCCTTCAGCTGTTAGAAGTATTTGTCTTGCCTTTATACAAGTGCAGGTTGTCAAGAAAGTGAAAAATACAAATAAAAGTTTATTTAACAGCATCAACATAACTCATTACATTCTTCAATTACAGGTAGTTTTGCAGAAGTGCAAAGTCAAATCTCTTATGCATAGTCCTGGGGATTATATTCTTCTAAGTGCAGATAAGTATGAAATCAAGGTATGTACTATGTATCATACTTATTTTGGTACCTAGAGAAATAAAATGCTTGAGTGCTGCACTGAAGTTTGCAAATAATGTAAGATTTTATTTTCTTCCATATTGCCTAAAGTGTAAAAGTGGCGTACAAGACATACAACTCTTTGGAAGCTAATGCTACAATGCTTTCCTTCATGTTTAGATATAAGTGATGGCTCTACATGAATGATAATGAAAAAAATAAGTGCTTTCAATGCATGCATAATGTGCTAACTTGACAGTGAAGCCGTTAACTGCAAGTGCTGTTACTGTTGGGGATTTTTGGGTTGAAGAATGCTGTAAATAAGTTTATGGCTATGGGAGTGCTTCATAACTGAAACAGTGTTACATTTCTGTCCAACTGGATGGTTCATTTTTTTTGGCAATTATTTAAAGCACCTATTTTCACTAGGACTTTTTAGCCTAGGAACAAGACATGCTGCAACAATACTCTTAAGACAAATTGCTCAGAAAATTGGTGTTCCTACCTAAAGAAGATAAATATTTCTGAAGAAAATATGCACACATTTATCTGATGCTTAAAGAGAGACTGAGGCTTGCTCTGTGTAGTGGTTTATAACATGAAAGTTTCATGGTCTTAAAACTGTGTTTTAATTGTAGATTTGGCCTATTGGAAGGGAAATAAACTGCAAGTGCTTAAAAACACTGTCTGTTTCTGAGGATCGCAGCATATCCCTACAGCCTAGCCTGCACTTTGATGGTAAATACATAGTGTGCAGTTCAGCACTAGGATTATACCAGTGGGACTTTGCCAGCTATAATATTCTCAGGTAAATCTTTCAGTTTAAGATTTGGTCTTCTTCAAAAACATAGGTAGAACATACTAGTTTTAAGAAGTTATTTTAGATGTAGGCCAAAAGAATCTTGATAAAAATTCTGTAAAGCTCTTGTTTTACACATACTGCTAGATTTAATTCTAATTTATCATTTGTTAATACAAATAATTTGATTGCTGTTTGGTTTCTGGCCACAGGCTTGTCCTCTTTCACATTCTCATTCCATAAGCTGAGGAGTTTCAGTATAGACTTAAATCAGGCTGCAGTGCCGTAGCTGTGAATGTGAAACCATCTTTTGCTGACTGCATACCCCAATAGAAAGAATAGTACCATCAGTAAGCAGCACATGGGCCAGATCTTTCCCTCCAATTCTAAATTATCCATGGAGGATATGAGGCGTGTCACCACCAGCGGAACAAAGAGATTGATACATTCACTCATGGTGTAGGATGAAGTAAAGACAGAAGCAAACCAACTAAGAAACCAGGTGGCCAGTCCAGTTGTAATTGCATAGCCATAAACCAGTGCCGCCATTACAGATGTAATCCTCCCCCTGCTCCCGGTTGTTAATGTTATGTTAATCCTAAGGGAGGGGCACCTGGTGGTGATCTCCTGATTGGTTCCCACCCAAGGCTGGCCAGGCCCTGGGTGAAAACCAATCAGGAAGGTCTTTCCTGCCTCATTAGGGACATCATCCATATGTCAACCCTGATTCACGGCTGGGGGTATAGAGCCCAGCACTTCAAACTGTCATGACTAGAAATTAATGTGGCCATGGAGATTGCTCTGCAGACCAGCAGGTGGCCATTTCTTGGTGTACTTTGATTGGACAAGAAATTAAAAAGACTTTTTTCTTTGCAGGACTACTGATCTGTCATTATCAATAATACTGCGGAATGATAGTTAAATCTAGCAGACTTCAGTAAGGGATGAAACAGGATGTCACATTCTGTTCCCATAAAAAGACTGAAGAAACTATGTGTTAGAAATAGTGGCATAAAATATGGTAACTTACTAAAGAAAAAAAAATTGCATTTTAGAATTGTTAGTAGACTCTTCATTGAAATGGCACAGGTATTTGTAGAGTATCTCTCTAAGAAGGATCTGCTCTAAAAGAAGTGCTTCTTGTCAGTAAGAATAACTGAGTAATTTCACCTCTGAGTTTACCTTCTTATCCTTCAAAAGAGAAAGATGTTCTTTTACTGCTAAAACCAGATTTTCATCTCCGTGCATTTATGTGCCTCAGTTCTGTGCTTTATGTAATGCTATGTCAGTTGTGGATGTTCAGTCCGTTGTAAAAAAACTTACTTTCTTCATTTCTGTTCCAAGTTTTATTTATTAAGGCAAAAATATTGTAAATGTCTAGGGGAACTAAGAAATACTTTTCTAAGATGAAAATGCTTAACTTATGCTAAGCACCCGTAAAACAGCATTCTGTTAAGGACCAACCTTGAACGATTTATCTTACCTTCTCTATACAGGAAAATAATTGTGTTTTATTTCCAGCTTCTAAAAGAGTGGTCAAAAGAATGAGAGGTTTTACCTGTTAAAGATATGGAGGCATGAAACCCCTATGGAAATGTATTGTAAAACACACGTACATTTGCTCTTTTGTGTGTATTGGAAAACAAGACTTTTTCTGGGTTTGCCCAGTGCTGTGCAGGATTCCTTTCAAACCTTAACCTTTACTTAGGCTCAGAAGGGTCTGTCCTGAATGCACAAAGCCAGAACTGAAACCACAAGTCTGATTGTAGATAAGTGTTCAGTTGCTTAATTTGAAAATACTGCATCCAGTTCTTTCTAAATCCTTTCAAAATTATTTCAAACGCTTACTTCTATGGACACATAAGGATTTGTTTTAGTAATGCACGTTCATTACTATACCGTGACAGTTTCTAACAATGTTGTCTTGCCTTCTAGGGTTATCAAACCTCCTGACTTCTCAAATGTGTCCTTGCTGGGCTTTGGAGAGATATTTGCTCTACTATTTGATAACAGATACTTGTATATAATGGACTTGAGGACAGAAAAACTGATAAGCCGCTGGCCTCTACCAGAATACAGGAAGTCAAAGAGAGGTTCCAGCTTTTTGGCTGGTGAAATGTCTTGGTTAAATGGACTAAATGGCCAAAATGATATGGGCTTGGTTTTTGCTACCAGTATGCCGGACCATAGTATCCATTTGGTGTTATGGAAAGAACACAGCTGAAAAGCTCACATACACAGAATCTTCAGGAATATATGGACTATCTGCAGTGTGTCTATAAAATGAGACTTTGCATGAACCAAAGTTGCACACCTAATGGTATCATCATGCAATGCACAATCATTTACTTTTATTTGGGCATTTGGGAACGGGTTGTTTTTGACTTAATGCAATACAGCATGCTAACAGTATTCACCACAAAATTTTGTCTGTACTCATGTTTAAGCATACATACTTGGGCCCCAAAACATAGCTTGTAACATTTAACCCATTCAAATCCACCACCAAGTCTGAAATGAAGTAGTGGTTGACCTGACTTCTGACCTATTTTTTTATGTTGAAAAAGAAGGTGAGGGAGGGAGGTGGTTGAGGCTCCATTCCTGGGGGTCTTTAAGGCCAGGCTGGATGAGGCTCTGGGCAGCCTGATCTAGTGGGAGGTGTCCCTGCTCATGGCAGAGGGGTTGGAACTGGGTGACCCTTGTGGTCCCTTCCAACCCTGACAGATTCTGATCTGTTTTAGCAGAAGACTTCAGAGCCCTAATGGCTCAATGGTTGGACTTGATGATCTTAAAGGTCTCTTCCAACCTAAAGAATTCTATGATTCTAAGGTGAAGCTGCTCTTTTAGAAACACAGGGGTTTGTACATGTAACAGCATACACTGGTTACAGTGCATGGCTGCTTAACTCAAATGAGAAGAGAGCAAACTCTTGTCTCTTTCCAGTGTCATTTGCTTCAAAATGTTTTTTTTCCCTTATGGTAGCTTTAAATATTTAGCCTTTGAAACAGAAGAATCAAATTAGTCCTTTAAGGAGGATCAGATGCTAACAAAAATTGTTTGGGAACACATCACTATGAACTCTTGTCAGCAAGAACAAGCCAGCTTTTTATCTGACAGAGCTTGCCACCACAACTTTAAGAGACCCTCTGACAGTATTCACCATATTGCTGATGGTAACTCAGAATAGCTTGATCAGTATTTTATAGTCCATACTTCCTGTACTTTGTGTGCAAATGTAGCTTAGTTCATAGGCAGGTAGAAATACAGCAAATGGGAAGATGATGTTTAATCTCTATCGCAAGAGTCATTTTCTTCCATTAAATGATGTCTAGCAGCCATTCACTTTTTCAAAAAGTTGCAGTTAATATAATCATGCACCTAAGTACTCCCCTTCATGTCTTTTTTTTTTTTTAAATGCAACATGAAAACTTGAGTTTTCATGAAAATTAGCTCATGATCTTGAAAAAAAAACTAAAACTGCCTAGCGTTACTATTGTTAGTACAAGGTGTTGTTTTTTCCTTCCACTATCCAAGGAGACCTAATTTCACACTTCCTATAGAACAAAGGCCAAGGTTCCAAAATGTATGCAGTATGAATTACACCAATGGGAGTTTCCATATGCAAGAACCAGTATTTCAGTGATAAGGTGGGAATTGCATGAAGTCACATTGGAGAAGTGTCTCTGAAATACAAGGCTACAGTCTTAAGTACTCAGTTTTCCACCTTTATTCACACAAACTTACTCTGGAAGGGTATTTGTAGTCAAGGACTTTATCAATTGGAAGTCAAATGCACAGCTCTTGATTCAAACCACACTGACTAGAGCACAAATTATGATCTCTCACAGCTTTTGTTCTCTCAAAAGTGAAGAAAACTTATCTGAAATGGAAAGCTTTCAATAAGCTGTATTGAAACCCAGTTCTCATCATTCATAAAATGTGGGAGTAACTATACTGTGCACTATGTAACTATGTACCAGAGTAACTCAGTTTACTCTAAAGGAGCCACATGATGATGGGTCACCTAGAGAACACTGCATTAGCTTTGAAAGATTATTTCACAACAGGAGTTTAGCCAGGAACATGCCAGAAATGTCTTTGTACTCACATCAGTGAAATATGGAGTGAATATTTGGACTGCAAGATGAGTGGAAAATGGGCTGGTCTGCCAAGCTCAGAGAGTGGTCATCAGTGATACAAAATCTAATGGGTAAACAGTTAATAGAAGTGTTCTTGAGGAGCTAGAATTGGAGAACTACTTTATTTATTTTATTTTTTCCAACCATACTAATTTGAAGGGGAAGCAGTCAATAGGCAAGAGAACAAGGAATGCTATTCTGAGAGTCTTTCAACAAAGTGGGCTGACAGAGATCTCATTAAATTTAACCACAGTAAATGCACTGTCCGTCACCCAAGACACAATCGCCCCACACAACAGGCAGGATGGAGCCATCTAGATGGGCAGCAGCTTTACAGGAAAGGACCTGAGAATGCAGTTGCACAGCAAATTGAGCAGGATTCAGCGATATGCCCTTGTGACAAAGAGGGCCGACTGCACACTGAACAAGTACACAGCTATGAGTACAAGGGAAGGGATTCTTCACCTCTGTTCTCAGCACAAGGCCACATCTATATGCAATGCTGAAATCCCCAGTACAAAACAGACTGACACACTGGGGCAAGTCCTGTGAGTCCTCCTGGGCAGGAGAAATGGACAGGGAGGTGGAGCAGAAAATGTCTGAGAAACAGAGCTGAGTTCAGCCTTCCAGAGAGAATGGTGGGGGAAGGGAAGGTGGTTGCAGGCATAGGGTAGAGAGGCACGGCTACTCTCTCTAGCCAGCTAATAAGAAGGTGCAGAGAAGGCAGGCATACTCAGCTCAGCATCATGCAGCAGGACAAGGGCAAACGGTCACAAACTGCAAGAAGATAAATTCCAACTAGCTCTTCCCTGCTGTGAGGGTAATTTTAAGACAGGAACAGGTTGCCTGGAGAGATGGTGTATCCAGCTTACCGAGACAAAGTCCTGAGCAAACCATGCTACCTTACCCCACTTTGAGCAGGAATTTGGACTTCCACATGTCCCGTCTAAACTACATTAGTGTACAATTCTAAATGGACGTCTTGTCAAGCAAGATAGTACCACAGCAGCAGGCACCTTTGATGTTCATACGACTGCCAGAGCGTCTTCAAATAGATGTTGGGAGACGCTGCAGCCACAAATACTACAGTTTGTTAAATGCTGTGAAATGGTAGTTGGAAACAGATTATGAAGAATCATTTCACAAGTTGCAGAAAATTTTAAACAAGTTAAGAACTCTAAATTTTTCTGCATTATCCCAGAAAAGCACGATGAGAACCAATGTGCCACCACAAAACAGATGAAAACATGACACTGATGCAGAAATTTTAAAAACCATACCTGCTCTCACACAGACATTTCTCTGTCATATACCAAAGTGTCAGACTATCATTGCCCCTAGATGTCCCTTCTTAGGAAGGTCCTAATACGTTACCGTATCAGTACAATGCACATAGCTTTGGGAGGTTAGAAAACAGAAAAAAATATTACTAAAATTGTGAAACTATAGTGAGCAAAATTTTTTTTTTTTTTGCTTGCATTGCATTCCATTAGGGTTCAGA